CGATGCCTTTGAAGTGAAGCTTTTGAAGACGTGCATTTGCCTGATGAGGCGGGCAGCTTGAGAAAACTTCTTGTTTGGCTTCACAAGTCGCGACGGCCATGCTTTGCTGAAACTCTGTGACGACGACACCTTGGACGTCAGTCCAACGTGAATCATGTCGCCTTTGCTTGAAATCTCATCTCATATTCTTATTTGAACGTGACGTACCTTCTTCGCCCTTACCCTCACAGGGTCTGTGTGCGCGGCATATGCCACAACATTCTGACGGATGTGGGACGCAGTATTCCAGCTAACTGACTAACTGACTGACTGACTGACTGACTGACTGACTGACTGACTGACTGACAGGCTGACAACCGGTTGACTGCCATCTGACTTCTATGACAACTGACGAGATCAAATATTCAGCACAGATGCGCTTCGAGTTGCACGGCGCGGTGTTGATTCGCGGGTTTGTGGGAGCGAGAGGAAGAAGAAGAAGAAGAAGAAGAAGAAGGAGAAGAAGAAGTGCGGTAGGAGGAGGAGTAGAAGGCGCGGGGCGCGATAGCGGTGGAGGGGGTGATGGCCTTGTGACGTACCCGTGCAGGCGCGAGAGCCGGGCCGGGCCGGCCGGCGCGGCGACCAAACAGCTCCGCGAGGACAGCAGGCGAGAGAGAGGCGAGCAGGCAGCGCGAACCGAACCGACCGCGGGGCGAAACGTACTTACGCGGCAACAGCAGCAGGTGGACAACACCTCAGAGAGAGAGAGAGCGACCGCCCCCCCCCCCCCCAATAAAAATCGCAGCATTGGTCGTGGCTGGATTTCAAGTCGATACACAAGTGCTTGTAAATTGAAAAGTTTGAATTGTACCTAACTGCCACTGTAAAAAATTTCATCGTCAATTTACAAAAATTTTGTAAACTCGAATTATAATTTAAGTTGTAAATTTACGAGAGCACATTTTTTACTCGCCAATTGATTTGAAGTCGATACGTACTGCATGTTTTTTGACGATTACAAATTATAATTTTACAACTTGCGTCAAGGAAAATTTTCTTGTAAACCTACCTACTATTTTTCACAGGTACGACACCTGCCATGTGGAAAAATTTCCTGTACCCGGTACAACAATTCCTCACAGTATTCCCCCTTGTGTACTGTTGTAGTTGATGTCACTTTGCCGTGCGTTTGCCGTGATGCACAGAGAGATTTTGGCCCGGGGCGTGGGGGGGAGCAGGGGGGCGGTCTTCAGAGGGGCCTTTGGCGAGGCGGGACGCGCGTCGCCGCTACAGTCCGGAGAGCACTTCGTGCTCGCCACGGCGCCTTCCATCTTCGAGGAACACTGGAAAAACGA